GATCGATCCCTTTGGGGGGCGGCGTTCTCCATGTTTTAATCAGCCGGTGAAACTGACGGGCACATTTTTTCGGCGACCGTGGCGCGGCCGGGGCAGCGATAACCGATAAGGGCAGCGAGTTACACGCCGATAACCCCTTCTGGTACTCGCGCATGAGGTCAGCCGGGGAGCGGCACGCTTTCCTCCTACACGGCCGACTTCATGGCGTCTATATTTAGATTATCAATGGCCGATCGGGTGTACCAGGAAACACGGGCGCGCTTAGGAGAAATCGCCCGTGGATTCCTGGAAATCGGCCCGGATGATGTGTTTTCGCGATGCCCGAAAAACGGCCGGCTGACACAGACGAGGCTGTCAGTCGGTCTTTCAGGCTGGATTTGAGAGGAGAGCTCCCGTCGAGCGAATTCTATTCTGCGTTGATACGTTAGGTTAGCGAATCTTCGAATCTTTTTGTGTTAGGAATGTGTTATTATGTCTGTAATCAGCACTAAATTCGGGTCAATTTTTGGTGGATTATTTTTGTGATATCTAGAGTAACGGTACCGAATACGAGACCTCGTAGTATTTTTATAAATAAGTGGTGCAATAATGCGGAAATCTTTAGAACTACTAAAACAAATGACAATGTCATTCACGCAGATGCGATCGTTTCACTGATACGCCATTAAATATGCTTTTTCTTACCGCGAGTTTTTAAGGGTAAGTTATTTGGTCAGTTTCTTTACTAGCTTCGATTCTTGGTATTATCAACTAATTAATATTAATAAACTGTTCTCAGATTAATTTAACTTCTTTTTTCGAACCCAGGATGTTCCTAATTTGAGACCCTAATTATCATAAAAATGTAAAAATTATTGTAAAACAAATTGGCTGGTAATAATATAACAGCACAACGATATAGTACAATAATAAATAAATGAAACGAGACTATAAAATACAAGTAGATAAATGGAGGCGTAACTTCCAAGTCACACGGCGTTATAAAGGGTTAAACAGGGTCTCATAGGAGCATTCTTTCAAACTATTAGTTTCATACTCTTTTATATTACCTCTATTTTTACAATACATAATAATATCTATGAAGCTAATATTTGTCTTAAGTATGATAAGTAAATAACGAATGTAGTGGTACTTAATGAATGGTATTTAATGAAACATAAATGGGGTCTCGGTACCGTTACACTATACGTCCCATTAGTCGTGAAAGGGTTGAAGTGGATTTAGTAGATTGAGTTGTGCAGGGAAGGTTGAAAATGGTGGAGGAAGAAGGGGTTAGAAATGTTGAAGATGGTTAGTGAGAAAATTGATGCTAATTGATCTTAGGGTAATTAGTGGTGGGTTTGGAAGTTTGTACTTGTTGAAGGTTAATCAATGGCGATTCAATTTCATTTCTCTTCTGGTACTGGAAGTGTCATTTCTGCAGACTTTGTTAGGCTACGTAACATAGAACGAAGCGAAAGGTAGGCGCTCTTGTGATTATTGCAGCGAACGAAACTGCAAGTTCTCGAAACTGATTACCTATAGAAGCTTGCAATTGGTATAATTCTTTAAAGAGGGTGAAGTTGAAAGAAAGGAGATCCAAGATTATTTATATTATTAAAAATAGAAGATTAGAACGTCTCGAGGACATTTGGACCTTTGTACTCGGCGAAGAAGAAAGAAGAAGACATGTAGAATTTGATAAGCGATAACAACTGATTAATTGATTAAGAGGATGGAGACGAGTTAGGTGTATCTCTCGAGATTGGGAAACGGGGTTACGTCGGGTGGAACAAAAAAGAGCGATGGGTTCGAGTAAAAATAGTCAACACAAGCACGCATAGTTCCGCAAGAGGTCGCGATCGAGGTATGTATTGATGTTCAATGTAGACCGTGTGTTATCGTTAATCGCCGAATCGAGTCACGTGCACGTTTGATAAGGTCGTACCTCGCGAATCTAAGTTCGTTAAAGGCATCGAATATAGAACAGCATTTCGCTATCAATGTTTATAATGTGTAAATATAAATAATCACAGCAGAGGTGTACTTAATTATATCAACGATTCTGTGGTAGAAAAAAGTAACGCGTTAAAAAAAACGGAAAAGATAACATTTTTTTCAATTTCACAGCGATAACGAGATGTTATTTGTGTCCAAGAATAAAAATTCCCACAGGCAAATTCCTCCATGAAGCCTTCTGTACGTCACCGATGGCACAATTCACCGTACCAAGTAACCTTGCGAATGTCACACAGAAATCTCAAAGTACCAAGTTCGCAGTGTCAAAGTTTAAAGAGCTTCTAAAAATGCTGAAGAAGTAGTAGATTGAATTTCTACATCTATCTTCAGGGAGAGATTAGAGCTTGATCATATCGAACTTCTCTCACTGACTTTTCTATTTTGTTACCCATTCTATCATTCCCACGTTTTCTCATTCTCCACATTTTCATCCTCTCCATTCCTCATTCTCCACATTCTTATCCCCTTACTCACTTTCCTCAGCATCACTCCCTCCAATTTCCACTCCTTCCACTCTCACTCTCACTCATCCTTCTCTCATCGCTCATTTTCTCTCTCTCTCAATTCACATTTCCTCATTCTCATTCTCCACATTCTCACCTTCTTTCCTCATTCTCCACATTCTCACCTTCTTTCCTCAATCTCCACATTCTCACTTTCTCCACTCCTCATACTCCGCATTCTCACCTTCCCCTTTCCTCATTCTCATTCTCCACATTCTCACCTTCCCCTTTCCTCATTCTCATTCTCCACATTCTCACCTTCTTTCCTCATTCTCCGCATTCTCACTTTCTCCACTCCTCATTCTCTACATTCTCACCTTCTCCTTTCCTCATTCTCCACATTCTCACATTCTGCGCTCCTCATTCTCCATACTCTCACCTTCTCCTTTCCTCATTCTCCGCATTCTCACCTTCTCCTTTCCTCATTCTCCGCATTCTCACATTCTGCGCTCCTCATTCTCCACACTCTCACCTTCTCCTTTCCTCATTCTCCTCATTCTCCGCATTCTCACCTTCTCCTTTCCTCATTCTCCGCATTCTCACTTTCTCCACTCCTCATTCTCCGCATTCTCACCTTCTCCTTTCCTCATTCTCCGCATTCTCACCTTCTCCTTTCCTCATTCTCCACATTCTCACATTCTGCGCTCCTCATTCTCCGCATTCTCACCTTCTCCTTTCCTCATTCTCCGCATTCTCACCTTCTCCGCTCCTCATTCTCCACATTCTCACCTTCTCCTTTCCTCACTCTGCATTCTCCTAAGGGTGGAGAGGGAAAGTCCATCGAACTACCAGGCAGGGAAATCAAAGCGCCGGTGAGTCACAGATCCTGGCTGGCGTGCATTCTATCGGCGCGACGCTCGAGGCGGGACGGCGTAACGAAAGCGATAAAAGCTCAACCGTCCAGCGTCCGTCCGCGCCTCTTACATAAAAGTAATAACAACCGTTGGACGCGTGCCGTTCTCTGCCTTAGACGAGCCAGGTCGTATATAATCGAGCAGTCCGACCACGGTGCAGCCACGCAACGATGCTCGGTTTTATTCCATCCAGGAGGAGGGCCGCGAATTGCGAAACCAGCCGTTCGAAGTTTGACCCAGCGACATTGATACGAAGCATCTTGATTAGGACCGTGTATAACGACCTTTGCGTTGGCTCGAGCTCCTGGCGCCACGGTACCAGACCAGAGAAAATCGAAAACTCCAAACTACGGCGAATGATCTACGAGGATTTAGGAGCTTCTGCCTCTTTATTGCTACCAATGTATTATCGGAGACTTTCGAGGTTTCCAGGGTACATTCGCGTACAAGCTGAGAGAGATTGGCGAGGGGAAGAAGGTTTTTTAACGATTCAATTAGTTTGCAATGCAATTATTTTCTTTGTTAATTTTCTCATGTTTGAATGACTTAAATAATTAAATTGCTTACTCCAATACATAATTATCGATATTTCTAAATTTGCTTATACTTTATAACTTTATTTTCTTCCTTGATTCAATTTCACGGTAAATCCTATTGGAAAATTCGATTTAACGTTTTCTCGTAACATTTAATGTTCGAATGAATTAAACAATTAAATTGGTTATTTGAAATAAATTGTGAATACATGATAGTACTTAAGGTAAAAGGAAATGAAGTATAATCGCGTAGAATATCGAACGTTGGAAAATTACTGTTCGTATACACAATTCTAATAGTGGATATAATAAATCCTCGAGGCGGCATTCCCGCCATGTGTTCACACGTTCGAAATCGAATGGTCTCTGTAACGGTATTACCCAAATAATTGGTTATCGAGCGAATTCGGTGTTCGAGCGCTGATAAAGTTTCTATTTTAAACGTAGTCAATCCGACTCGGATGCAGCACGGGGAAAAATATATATACGGCATCGTGTTCGAAGTAAGTAATTTTTCTGGAAAGAACAAGCGTCAGATAAATCGCTTACAGTAATCTTCTTGTGAAAAAAAAGATCTTCCTCTAGCTGCCCTCTTGTTTATCAACATCCACAGACTGTATGGAATTACACGATAATCGACAATTGAACGAGATAAAAATTTACGCACGGGCAAAGAAAAAAAGAATTGAAACGTAAGAGCGAAAAAGAAAAAAAGAATTCACGAACTACATACTTGGGAAGGAATAGAAAAATAAGTGTGACGATCGCGGTTAAGAAATATCGTGCAGATAAAGTATTATAGAACCGTTTACGTGCAATGAATCACAGAATTAGAATAAAGAGGAATTACTAGAAATCGATGCGAAATAATTTATAACTAAATATAAACGGGAAATGTGATCTTCACGGTTGAAAGAGCGGAGTTTCTGGACAAATAAGGACAAGTGTCATCGATCGTTTTGTTTACCAAGCACGGATCGGTGGAAAGGAGGAAAAGGGTAGCTCGAAGGATGCGTGCATAATAAACGCGTCTATTAAATATCATCGGGTAAAAGAGAGGGTTCATAATCGATGAGACGCCTCGGAGGAAAAGCAGTGGCGGTTAAGTCATGGAGAGATTCAGTCCACCGGCGGCGTCGTTGAAGAAAAGAATCAGCCCCCCGATTGCTTGGAATATTGGTCTCACTAGCAAGGAGCCGAGAATTGTCAAAGTGATCCTGTTGGGTCATCAGGGTGTCGGTAAAACGGGTAGGAATTCAATTATAATTGCGATAAATACGGTAGCTTAAGATTTTGATCGTAAGACGAATTGTAGAATTCTCGCGAGGCATTAGGTTTGCCTGGTAAATGCTCAGAGTGGTAGAAAAAGTGACGAAGACAGTAATTCGGAATTTTCAAATTCGCAAACTTTAAACAATGAAATTTTCAAACTTTCAAACATTCAAATTTGTTAATTTTGAAAATATTCCAAATTTTCAAATATCCTAATTTCTCATATACTCAAATTTTCAAACACTCAAATTTCCATATACTCTAATTTCTCGAATACTTAAATTTTCAAATTGCTGAATATTCAAATCTTCCATACCATGTGTCATTTTTAATTGGTATTAAACTTTTACCGAGCCTGCAAATCATTCAACTACTCCACCTCTCTGCAATTCAAAGACGACGAGCACTCTTAATCGTCCTAAATGTCCCTAAAATTGACATTTCAAGACGAAGCTACCTTCTAAAAAATCGCACTGATATTCAGCTCTGGCTGTGCGTTTCGCGACGAAACGATACATCGGCGAATACGACTGCACCACCGAGAGGCTTTACAAGGTGGACAGTTTCCTGGACGCGGCATGGGAGATAACAGATCCCCCAGGATATCTACCGCCGCCGCACGAGTTAAAATTGCGATGGGCAGATGCCATCGTTCTCGTTTACTCCGTGTCTGATCGTGTCAGCTTCGACGAAACATCCCGCCTCCGGTGAGAAAATAAATGAATCACCACTGAAATCGTTCAGATCAAATCTCCTTCAAATCCACGATATTCCTACGAAAAGAAAAATTATTACTATTAAAAACAAAACATCAAATATCGTGAAATTTTTATATTTCAAATAAACTCAACATAGGATGAACATTTTAATTGGTGTAGTTAACTGTGAGAGTATTTTCAAATATAAATATCAAAGCAACGCGTACTATAAAAGTGCCAAAGAGATACACTATAGAACTCCCGACGAATCGATAAATATTTTTCGTCACACCGTTTTCCACCGGTGTTCATTTCAGTTTTCTGGTGTCACACGCGAGGAAGACTAGAAAAGTGCCGCCGATAGTGATTTTAATAGCGAATAAGGCAGACTTAACGTACACTCCTGGCGAAAGGGTTGTTTCCACTGCGGAAGGGCGTCAAAGGGCTGAGGAAATCGAGGCTCACGCTTTTCACGAAATCTCTGTGAGGGAATCCGTCGAACAGGTAGCACTCAAATCTCTAATCTCCATTCCTCTAATTGCTCGCGTAATTATTCACGCATTAGAACATCCTTTACCTTGGCATTCGTGCTCTAAAATTGGACGAGTAATAATAGACTCATTGTCACTGCTACATACGTCAATGCGTTGCAATTTTATCCTAAGAAAGACGTAATACTCTGTTTATAAACAGAAAATTGGTACATCTTTAATTGGAAGTTCTAATAATATTCTGTTATATAATGAAAGAAAAATTATTAGTATCGATGTTTATCAACAAAGCATTCCAAGACTTTTCTTCACATTCCTGTCCATATATTTTCACTATTATTACTGGTATCTGCATTTTACTATACAATGAAAGAAAAATGTTTAGTATCGATGTTTATCAATAAAATATTGCAAGACTTTTCTTTAATTTCTTGATGGTATATTTGAACTCTGTGTCAACTTGACAAAGCGTGCCATCGAGGACGACAGCGTTACGTTGCGTCGTTTGCTTCGTAAGAATCAGGAGTCGTTGACACGGCGTTACATCTCACTCGATAAAACCACGAGCTTTTGACGTAACACTGACAGTGACTCCTACATCTAACCTTAAGTGCCAAGGGCTAACATATAGGGCAATCGACGTGTAAACAATCATTTGAACCATTCGTAAGGTAAACAATTGCAAAATAACAGATTTACTACGGAAACTTTTTTTCTCCTTCCAACAATATATTACGTTTCTCATTTCGTAACCGTATTAGGTTCTACCAGATGAAATGACCGAAGTGTTAAAATCTGAAAGTTGAAGAACGAGCCCTTAAATGTTGAAAAATTCCGCTGTGAGGAGATCACACTTGTACTATGTAGAACGAAAGGCTCCACTGCCCAAATGTTGAGGATTGGAAATCATTAAACGATCCTTATCACGAAATTTCCAAAATTCTTTGAAATGACCCAGAATCCATAACGAAACGATCCAAAGTGAAGCAGAATGTGCTTCGTCCATGTTCCTAAAATTCGCCAGACACAACACCACGTCATTAAACGCGAAACCATGTGCTTGATATCTGGTGAATATTCGCGGGGTCTTGATCTTGCCGCGATTACGGTCATCTGGATCGTCGACGTAACGCCGCGTCATTGTTCGTTCGAAGAGAAGACGAATCTCGATGGATCTTCGCTGAAACTTCCTTAATTGTTTCTCTATTTTCAACAATAAAATCACGAGGGATTACGAAGGGGAGGACGATTTGGCGGATCAATTCGATTCCGTGTTGTCCCGATCGAGAAGCCTAATCGCGTGGCCCGTTATTTTTCTAAAACGATTGTTTACTCCTCCGGGAAACCGGTCATGGCGTTTACGCGTGATCATTGAGCGGTAAACAAAATCTGTATCGCAACGGACCGGAACGCGACGCGATACCGAGAGCATCGATCGTCTTATCAATATCGTTATAATGTGCCGCAATTAAAAATTTGTTTCACAATTAATTACCCCTGGTCCCGGGCGTAATCGAATTTTTGGCCTTTGCTGCACTAATCTGGCCCTGTTCTGCGATCGATTTCATTGTCTCGTGGATTCAGTAATCTTGATCCTTTACGATCGTGGAAAATTTTCGTTTGAAAACCTATTGTACCCGTGAAAGAGTTCGCTGCTTTTGGTTGTGTAAAATCAAACAGTGATTCTGTAAACCAAAGTGTAACTTTGTACTTTTTGGTAATCTGTTCAATAGGTATTCAATATTCTCAGTGTTGGATTTTTAAATATTTTTGGAATTCTGTTTAATAGGTATTCGATACTCTCGGTGTATTGTATTTTTAGTATGTTCAATACTCGGTATATCTCTGATAAATTTGTTGCTCGATACTCTGGGAACCTAGTATTTTTAATACTCACTATTCTCAACAGGTATTCAACACTTCTGGTATTCGATATTTTAAATATTCAACACACTTGGCATAAAATAATATCTCATGCAAAATTTAATATTCAATAGGAAGAAATTCGCTTCTTCTTGTTTTACGGTCTATGAAATTGCTTCGAGCTGAGATATCTTCTCCTTTACGTCATAGCGAACTCTTTCCTACATCTAACAGATAATACAATAATATTGTTTTCTTTCTATTACTGTTTCTCTTATCGGGAAATGTACGAATGGAACGAAGTTGGAGAGAATAGGAGAATCGAGGATCTTACACGTGTCGCGAACAGTTGGCAGGAGCACGAATTGAAAAAACGGCACGAGTGATAATGCCGAGAGAAAAATACTCATTCGTAGTGGCTGAATAGATAATCTCGCGGGGTTATGTAACGATAGCAGCGGACTGGACCGATTATTTTTATTCGACAGGTCATGGCCGTTTTCACCGACATCTTCAAACTGTTGACGGAATTGCCTGGCAATTCTGGCAACCAAGCAAATTCCTTCAGGGTGAGAGCCTCCACTGATGGGACCTTGAACGCTCTACGACGTCCCTCGCCGATTCCACTTAAGAGGAGATTCAGCATCTCTGTTCGAGGAACGCTTCATTGAACGACGAAGAGCTTTAACTTTAATTGAACAATTGAATGAGCGAGGGAAAGAAGAAAAAGATTTCACCGGACCCTTCTTTAAGACGGGAAATCGAAAACACTTGCAGCTAAACGCTAACGACAGCAACGAAACACTTTCTATCGTGAAGTTATCCACAATTTTTTAATAATTTTAGTAAATGTCATGAAAAAAATTGTGGAATTTTTTCCTTCTTCTTCTCACCCATGCAATTCTTCCTGTTCGTAGGAAGTGCTGAGTGTTCGTTGTCAATTTGCAGTATTATGGTTGTTTGTTGCATTGTAGTACACGTATTTTGTTGACTTTTTGAATTTTTTAAATACCGAATTGAAATATCAGACGAGTGGAAATCGATTTCGAAATAAAATGTGGATGTTCGATTATAAATTCTACGAAGCTTCAAACCCTTCTTTCATACGTAACACTAGTTATTTATCGAAAGCGTGAATTTTATCGAAGCTGAAGGATCGACGAAAGAGTTTGGGCGAAATTGTATTTATTAATGTGAAACTCTGTTACACTGTTCTACCAGATTAACAATAAAAATACAACAAGCGTTAAAGTTCATCCGTGTCTTATTGCAAAAGCCAGTGCTTTCGGATTTTCGTCTTGAATGGCTGCTCTGCAACGAGCCACTGTATTCGAGGCACTTTTTCCAACTGAAACAAGGTACGAAATATATTTTTCAAAAAAGGTAAATACAATACTTAAAGAAAAATGTTTTAAATTACCTCTTAATCTAGCTGCACGTTGCACTCCAAGATTCAATTCTTTCAAATTTCCCGTGAGCTCTCGATAGCTCTTTATCCGGATCTCGTGTTCCTTGATCAAATCCATGTTGACATTCTTCAATTGCACTAGCCTCTTCCTCATATCGTCTATATTCTCAAGAATTCTGGCATCTTCCAAGCGAATTATGATATTTTTCAAGAGTGTGGTCTCGTTGGCTGCCTCTGCTTGCAGCCGGGCGTCAATCTCCTTCAATTCTAGAATCAAACAGTTAATTATCTTCCAGGAAAGGAACTTTGGAAATGTAAAATAAAATTATTTCCTCCGCTTGAGTACTCGAACAAAAACCGAGTTTTTTAATTTTCAAGAAAGGTAAATTCGGTAAGGAAAGGGTCAAATTTACCTTTCACACGTTCAAGGGAATCCAAAAGCTTT